TAGAGCCAGTCCAGGCCTTCAACCCACCAAACAATACAAACATGCGCACCTGCTGCGGTGGCGCCACCTGCGTCGGACGCGCGCCCCGCGGTGCGTCCCTCGCGCGGTTGTTTCGCCCTCATCCGCGGCTCCATCATGCTCGCTGTCATGCTGCCCGTCATGCTGTGCGGGCGCGGCTTGCGCGTGGCAGCGCCCTCTCTCTTTGTCACCGTCGTCGCTGCAGCAGACGATGAGTCGGAGTCAGGCGTGTCGCCGTGGAGACGGGCGACGGTTGACTGCGTGGCCGACTTGTAGAGGCGGTTGGATATGTCGAGTGCTTTGGTGGAGGGGCCGAGAGCAGGGGTAGACGGAGACGACCGCCGGGGCTTCGTCTCAGGGATGCGACGCAGAGCTGCGTGAGAGAAAACCCGCAAGAAAATACCACGCTGAGCGAGCGCGGGGCCATGCAAGCACACCGGACGGCGAAACCATAGCAAAATACAGCTAATAAATCAATAGACGGATGGATAAATCAATCACTGAATATAATGCACATACGAATATGTAAATTAATATAAATGAAAATGAGTAAAAAATATGTGATATACTTTTGTGGCAGGCAGGAAAGGCAGCAATATTTCCTTATTGCTAGGTGAAGTGCTTAGTGAAACAGCAAGTGCAAAGCCTGTGGATCAGATGTTTTTCTTTCATTGATGCCAGTTAAGGTGTTTCATGAAGTGATCGCCCTTCTGATGAACAGGTGAGGTAGAGGAAATGTTTCTTGCTGCAAGATGTAGTGCTTAATGGGAAGACATGCGTTCCTAGCTACCAGGTAAGGTAGTTAATGAGATGATGTGCCTTTCTGGCTACCAGGTGAGGTAGTTAATGAGGTGATGTGCCTTTCTGGCCACCAGATGAGGTAGTTAAAATCAGGTGCCCTACCTTTCTGGCTACCAGGTGAGGTAGTTAATGAGGTGATGTGCCTTTCTGGCCACCAGGTGAGGTAGTTAAAATCAGGCGACATACCTTTCTGGCTACCAGGTGAGGTAGTTAATATGGTGACATACCTTTCTGGCCACCAGGTGAGGTAGTTAATATGGTGACATACCTTTCTGGCTACCAGGTGAGGTAGTTAATTTCCCCAATATAATTTATGGACAAAACAATTAATTATACTCAAATAATTAAATAAACATTTTCAAATATATTTTGTATTGAGTGAGTGTACATACGTTTTTATAGTAAAAAATGAAAATCAATACGATTAATTTATACTTATTGTCTTAACGAAGGATCTAAACAGTTTAAATGAAAGGTGAGCTTCCTTACGCTTCCTCCTCTTTACGTTGCCTCTCTAGCTCTGCCTGCCTCTCAGCTTCCTCTCTTGCCTGTCTTCTTTTCTCTGCCAGCTTAGCTTTTGCCTCCTCCTCACTCGTGATTCTGTATTGCATACGGTAGAACAAATGTGAATGACATGAGATATTAATTTGCAATCGCAATTCCCCCAATTTTCATGGTGACGTTCAAGCAGGTAACAACACGTGCTTACTCCCTAGTTATGAGCGAGCAGTTAAGCGACAATAATGCTCTGAAGGGACTACAAGTCACTGCCAATAGAATCTGTCACTCTGCCTAATAATGAGTAATAATGATAATGAGTAATAATGATGATGAGTAATAATGATGATGATGATGATGATGATAATGATGATGATGAAGATGATGATGTCGATGAATAAGAAGTGACACGCCAATACCTGGACTTGCTTGCAATGCCTTCTGTAGGTTCGGCGTCAGCAGTGGGAGTACTGGCCGCAGCAGGCGGGGTGGGGCTCGTCACCTTGCCAGGGGCAGGGCTGGGAGCCTTAATTGCTGTCGGGGTGGGAGCACTCGACTTCTCTGATATAGGCCGTTTCGGCACTCTCTTCATCACAGGTGGCTGCAAGCGAGCAGAGAAGTGAGAGACGATTACTTACGACCTCACTCCATTTCATCTAAAGAATGATTGAAAACTGCGTTTAAACTAACATTGCTAGAGAATTTTACAATAAAATGAGGTGCAATTATTCTAATATGCTATTTTCTGTGCTTTTGCTTGTATTGTCATCTATGTCTATTGTATATGCATGTCTATGTCTATGTATGCTATTGTCATCTGTTCAAAATAAGATCATTTGAGAGTTTTACACTAGTATTAGGTGTGTGCATGCCATGGCCTATCTTATCACAAGACAGATAGCAACACCAAGGGCGACTTGCCTGTACATGGCTAATCATCCCTAATCAAAGGTGATTTGTGTTAAACTACTGCAATTTTCGAAAAAAACAAAATAACGTGAAAAATAATGAGCTTGAACTGACCTTCACCTCAGGCTTCTCCCTCTCTGCCTTCTCACTGGCAGGTTTCTCCTTTGGAGGCTTCTTCTTAAGTGGCCTGGGTGGTGCGGAGACAGCCCTCGGAGTCCTAGCCTGCAACACAAATGAGCGATGGGATGGAAATAGTAGATGGTAGCAAGCATGGGGGCAGCTAACCTAGCATGCATGCACCGGGATGCCCTGTGAAGATCCTTTGTTAACCGTACATAGATCCTTAGACTAGTGAACATATTATCATAGTTATATAGCAATGATCATATTTACAACGACATTCACTATCTTTATTTAGATTGTCACATTATGTATTATTCATCGTAATACAACTTATATGCGAAGCATCATCGATTCTAGTAAATTTAGATACAAACAAGAATTTTACCATTATATCATTGAAGCAAATATCTGTAAGCATATCTATTGAACAAAACACGTAACTAGGTGAAACAGTGTGAAAACACTGGACATGGACAAACACAAACAACCACATGCACGGCGTCGTCGTGCACACACGCACACACACACACATGCACACACATTAACCAATGTACCATAATGTGATCACAATCACTATTGCCACTACTAGATGGCGCCACACTCGTGGGCGCATGGTGTTACCTTGCCAGCCTCGCGAGCGGCTGCGCGTCGCTGCACGGCCGTCTGTCGCTCGTCCAGCGTGCCGTACATGCTCTGCTGCATCAGATTCGACTCCTGACGAAGCTTCTTACGACCCTCAGCACTCTGCGACCTCGTCTTTGATGCCTCAGCGGCCCCTGCCAGCAACAGATTCAGTACATCAGCAACCGGCGACATCTCGTGGTGTGTCGTGTATGAAACAAGTGCCACATAGCGACAGGGCTCATCTGGTGTCTGGTGTTCTGCTGATAAATTCATTTGTGCATAGCAAGACGTCCTATACATACGTTCATTTCGAACCCAAAAAAACAACACTTCAAACTAGTGTAATAAAATTCCGATAGATGGCGGGCCGCTATCAAAGGCATCGTTGCATCGGTCAGCAAAAGCATTGTAGCAATGGCAGCTGTCAGTGTGACGACGAATTGCAAAAAGCAGGAGCGAATAATTACCATATTATTACTATACATAACGTGCGTTCTATGGTGTCAGGTAATAAGGTACATTAAACCCCTTGCGAGGCACATCTGGCTCGTTAAAAATAGCTCAATGGTTGATACAACCAGAGGCAGAGCAGCTCGTGCAAGATTACAATTTACAGCAATACGATAGCAAAGTGTCTGTAAACTAATTTCAGTACAAGGTAGGCCAGTGATTAGTGGACCGAATAAGCTCAAGAACGTACACACTTGCGTCTATATTGGTGCCAAAATTTGATGAGAAAATTAAGTCTGGGAAATCCGCAGCCTCACTCCTGGGTAATTATTTGAGTGCTAGTGACTGTATTCAAACTATTCATAATGTACACTACAGAATCTTATATATAAGTCATGTCATTATCTCCTACAGTAAGCGTTGTTCAAGTAAGAGTTATGTGGTGAATTTCACTGTAAAATGGGAGCTTTCCACACCCACATGTACTCGCGCAACGCAGTTGAGAGAAACAAATCATGTTTAACCCTCCTCTTGAGGGTCAAAGTTATCCGACACTTACTCTTCGCATGTCAGCGGAAAGTAATTTCATGGTCCTTTCAATAAAGCCATAAAAATGCTAGGTCACTGCTGAACAAAAAGTTTTTCAATCGCTCCGTCAGACCAATGTCCTCAGAAAATGTCTAAAATCTGCCCTGTGCCCCATTGACGTTTGACATGTGACTCCAATTTCGGCACAGTGATGGCTTTTCCTACCATGATGCTATACACCGACTATGCACCGAGCTAGTGTCGAGCCGTTTAGATTTTGTGCCGCAATTCTGCATTTCCCTCCCTATACCTTAAGTTAAGGAGGAACGTTCCCCTTCTTTTACACGCTCTTGACTTTGACCTTTGCCCCTAGCTTCGACATCCCAACTCGTTTTGACGATCCCCCCGACATCCCCAATATCGTGACGTACATCAAGCGGTTAAGATTTGTGCCCAACTGTTGACGGCACGGACGGACGCACAGACGGACGCACAGACGGACGCACGCAGAGACGCACTGCTCATGCGATTCTACAGCTGCATCTGACTATGTCAGATGAGCTAAAAACTGAGGTTAGTGCAGCAAGGATGTATGATTGTCATTACACGGTGTAGAGAAGATGATGGGTGGTAGGATCTACAGGCAAGAAAATTTACAAGGGGTATTTTCTGATGGTAGGGGGGGGGGTAGGGTCGGGGTTTGGATGAATTTGTGATTGTAGAGAGAGACCTTGCTTAATAGGAAATTTTCCAGCCACTTTGGAAAACAGACTTTATCATCCTGCAAGCCGCTAACCAATGCAATAAGAAGTGAGCAAGATGTATTTCGAATGATCACTCCCGGTGTTTTTCACGCGGCTGTGCGTACATCGTCTCATTGGTTTTCAGTAACGGAGCTTTGGAATCATGTCTGGACGTAGCAAACTTCCTGATTGGCAGACATCAGGCTAAAAGTTGCATATAATGCCAGATTAATAAGGCAGCAGTGTATACAACATAGCATGCCCATAAGTTTATAGGTGGTTATAGGGGCTGTTTAGGCTTTTCTTCAATTAACGCCAACTTGCATTACAGTAAATGAAGGTGAATACGATAGTCTGTACATGATATGCATCTGGCATTTGTAACAGCAGCGTGTAGGCGTACCATGACAGACACGATTTGAACATCAGACAAATTTTAGGAGAAATGGGGTTTGAAGCACTGGTAGGCATGTTGAGCTGAGAGCTGGAGTGAGACAGCGAGAGAGAGAGAGAGAGAGAGAGAGAGAGAGAGAAGAGAGAGAGAGAGAGAGATGAGAGAGAAGAGAGAGAGAGAGAGAGGAGAGAGAGAGAAGGAGAGAGAGAGAGAGAAGAGAGAGAGAGAGAGAGCGAGAGAGAGAGAGAGAGAGGAGAGAGAGTAGAGAGAGAGAGAGAGAGAGAGAGAGAGAGTAGAGAGAGAGAGAGAGAGATGAGAGAGAGAGAGAGAGAGAGAGAGAGAGAGAGAGAGAGAGAAAATGGGAAAGTGGAAGGAAAACAGCGAGAGTAAGGAAAAAGGGGGAGAACCAAAGAGATAGAGAGACAGAGACGAGAGAGAGTAAGGCGAGAGAGAGAGAGAGAGAGAGAGAGAGAGAGACAGATAGAGAACTTGAAAGAATTGAAGCGCTTAGATCTAAGCTTTGTGTCATCCGCAGGAAACAGCAACAAACAGAGACAAACATGTAGCAAACATGTAGCGCCCCGCTCCCAATAGAGCCAGCTCCAGGCCTTCACCATCAAACAATACAACATGTAGCCCCCCCCCCCCCATAGAGCCAGTCGCAGGCGCTTCAAGCCATCAAACAATACTAAACATGGTACGGGCCCCCCCGCCGCCGAATAGAGCCAGTCCAGGCCTTCAAGCGCGCATCAAAGTCAATACAAACATGTACCCCCCCGCCCGCCCTAATAGAGCCAGTCGCAGCGGACTTCACCCATCAAACAATAAAAGCATGTACGCCCCCCCCCGCAACCATACAAACATGTACCCGCGCCCCCTGCCCCCCATAGAGGCCAGTCGCAGACTTCAACCGGATCAACAAGAAAACTCTGTCCGCCGCCCACTAGAGCAGGTCCAGGTTTCACCGCATCACCAACAATAGCAAACATGTACCCCCCCGCCCCCGCAATTAGAGCCAGTCCAGGCCTTCAACGCACCAAACAATACAAACATGCGCACCTGCTGCGGTGGCGCCACCTGCGTCGGACGCGCGCCCCGCGGTGCGTCCCTCGCGCGGTTGTTTCGCCCTCATCCGCGGCTCCATCATGCTCGCTGTCATGCTGCCCGTCATGCTGTGCGGGCGCGGCTTGCGCGTGGCAGCGCCCTCTCTCTTTGTCACCGTCGTCGCTGCAGCAGACGATGAGTCGGAGTCAGGCGTGTCGCCGTGGAGACGGGCGACGGTTGACTGCGTGGCCGACTTGTAGAGGCGGTTGGATATGTCGAGTGCTTTGGTGGAGGGGCCGAGAGCAGGGGTAGACGGAGACGACCGCCGGGGCTTCGTCTCAGGGATGCGACGCAGAGCTGCGTGAGAGAAAACCCGCAAGAAAATACCACGCTGAGCGAGCGCGGGGCCATGCAAGCACACCGGACGGCGAAACCATAGCAAAATACAGCTAATAAATCAATAGACGGATGGATAAATCAATCACTGAATATAATGCACATACGAATATGTAAATTAATATAAATGAAAATGAGTAAAAAATATGTGATATACTTTTGTGGCAGGCAGGAAAGGCAGCAATATTTCCTTATTGCTAGGTGAAGTGCTTAGTGAAACAGCAAGTGCAAAGCCTGTGGATCAGATGTTTTTCTTTCATTGATGCCAGTTAAGGTGTTTCATGAAGTGATCGCCCTTCTGATGAACAGGTGAGGTAGAGGAAATGTTTCTTGCTGCAAGATGTAGTGCTTAATGGGAAGACATGCGTTCCTAGCTACCAGGTAAGGTAGTTAATGAGATGATGTGCCTTTCTGGCTACCAGGTGAGGTAGTTAATGAGGTGATGTGCCTTTCTGGCCACCAGATGAGGTAGTTAAAATCAGGTGCCCTACCTTTCTGGCTACCAGGTGAGGTAGTTAATATGGTGACATACCTTTCTGGCCACCAGGTGAGGTAGTTAATATGGTGACATACCTTTCTGGCTACCAGGTGAGGTAGTTAATGAGATGACATACCTTTCTGGCTACCAGGTGAGATAGTTAATGAGATGACATACCTTTCTGGCTACCAGGTGAGGTAGTTAATGAGATGACATACCTTTCTGGCTATCAGGTAAGGTAGTTAATGAGATGACATACCTTTCTGGCTATCAGGTAAGGTAGTTAATGAGATGACATACCTTTCTAGCTACCAGGTGAGGTAGTTAATGAGATGACATACCTTTCTGGCTACCAGGCGAGGTGCTCGTGCTGGACATTGATGTGTCCACCAGGTTGCGCCGACGATGTGACAACACAGAAACAGACTGAGACATTCTTTTGCTCATAGGCGGCGATAGTGAGGTCTCTGATTTGGCACCTGCATGCGAGAACATGCATAAATGACCCATCACACACGCCCAAATAATGACAACACACATACGTGTACACAGTAGTACATAACCTAACTATTAAATCAATAACCATGACATGCTGACAATTTCTTTCATAACACTGCCTCCATTGGTGTTAAGCTGAATGCAAATAGATTTCAGGTTTGATTACACGTAAGTGAAGGTTGCTTGTAATACACATAGAAATGAGATTTCTAATCCAAGATGACGTTACGTTCACTTGAACATTTTACGAAACTGTGCATATCGATTCGTACAAGGTCTATTGATTAAGCCAGCTATCATAGTAATGCTTGAGTGCATTATGAGTCACGACTTGTGAGCACGGAACTCACACTCTTACACTGTACACCGTTATTTCTCACTCACACTGACTCATCTGATGACGAGTAGAGGCTATCGTGGTCTCACCTATGATAGAGGAAACACTACGCGCATGCACGCCGACCGCTAAACTGCTCATGCACAAGCTCCTACAAGCATGCATGTCTGCCCGACCTACGTCGCACGAGAGGCGCCATCTAGCGAGCTCGCTATAACTACGCACGATGCACTGACCGCCACACAGCACTGCGTCTGCCACGGGGATGGATGTGCGGAGGACGGATGGGAAGGCCAGGTGACATTCTCAGTCTGACACCACGCACCGTAGTGGTGCTACGATCGGGAACACAACCAAGGTAATCAAAAATGCAAGACATCGGAAAAATGATGTTAGCTAGTGCTAGAGCGCACTGCACGCAGAGAGAGGATGAAAGAAAAATCTAAAAATATTATTAGTATATTACATACTAAGCCAGACCCCAGGGAGCGATCTCAAACAGACGGGGAAACATTTGTATTACATACCGTATCATCTGAATAATTATGATGAATTATTAGATACACGACATTGCTGCTGTACATGCCAGTGTTACCGATACTGACGTATTTTCATCAGTTACTTAAGGAGATGTGGCCGATCCTCGAAATTCATTCATCCAAAGAAATGTCCTGGCCCATGAATGAACACAGCCAGGAGTGTATCACCAAACAAATGAGAGCCACCAAAAGATGCACCAGACGAATTACATAACTGCAAATAATCGTTAAGTGTGCAAGGTTCCGAAAACTATTACTGTCCATTACATCGGTAGCACAATGACCTGTCACCCCATCACACTTGGAATCCTTTTACATTCGCGACGGCCGAGTAACGAGGGCCAACACATTGGGGCTACCAGCGGGAATTTGTAGGGTGGAACCAGAGTTTAACCAACATTACGCTAGGTCAGCCACTGAAACATTACGCTAAGTCGAGAAGCCCCAACCGTGGCTTGCTATAGGAATTAGAGCTCACACACAGCGAGGGATTGGGGGGACTAGGGTTAGTGAGGTGGTAACGAGCAGTGACACATCGGTTAGTGTACAAATCACAAGCACACCGAACACAGTCTACGGGGACACCTTACTGTCGTTACTGATTGCTGCACGGCAACACCCAGGTTCACCTAGGTGTGCTTAGGTATACACAGGTGTGCCCAGCTACACCAAGATATACTTGGGAACAGCCAGGTATGCCTAGCTAGCTACAGTCTGGTATGACCATGAACATCCAGGTATGGACATGAACACCCAGGTAGGTCCAGCTATGCTCAGGAAGACACAGGCATGCACAGGCGCACCTGGGTATAGCAAGGCACACCCAGGCATGTCCAAGCACACTCAGTTATCCCCCAAGTAGAATCAGGTGCACTTAGGTGCACCCAGTTATACATTGGTATGCCCGCGCACACCCAAATATACACCATGGTAATACCTAGGGAGTGCTTCCTTATGACATACCAGGTCGACCAGAATCAAAACACTAAGCATTTTGTGTTATTATTGTAAGGTGTGTAGCAGAGAATCAACAACCTGCAGGTCGATACACACTGACACACACACACGTTCCCTAATATGCTGGCTATAGGACAGTGTTAGCTTTTGTCACGGTTGCCCATGGCAACAATCAGTAGTTAGGGCAATACTGAGACAGCAAGAAAATGAAAAGTAAACGGAAAGAGAGCAAAAATGAGAAAGAAGGAGAAAAGGATATATTAAAATACAAAGAGCTATGCATGGCAGAACATGGTGGCCGACTGTGTGCATGCGACACCTTGATTCTCCGTGCCTGCGGAGGCTGAAGATGTTGCCATGGCCGCGGAGGGCCGCGCGCGCACGCAAGGGTGCGCTGACACTGCACGCTGCTTCGACAATATATATTCCTCTATACAGCAGGCGTGGGTACCTTCAAAAGCAAGCAGACAGCGTTTGCTTTGCGGCAGGTGTAATTGCTGGGCTCCCGCAGGCTAAAACACTGTTCACTACTCTCCCTAAGTGGCTATATCAACCCTGCTTTCCGCGTAGGTATCAGTTTACTCTACCGTTTCTGTGCACAGGTATCACTTTAACCTACATGTGTTTATATATAGTTATAAGTTTAGCCTAACCTATTCCTTGTTTGGCTACAAGCTTAGCCCTCTTTTGCCAAATTTTAGGCTACCCTGTTCCCTGCTATTAGTTGGCGTAGACTGCTTGACGTGTGACTATAATTTAGTTCACCCTATCCATCGCGTGGGTATCAGGTAGCCTACCCTGTTGCTATCAGAGAGCAAGCCTAGTTCTATACACAGCTTGCCATAAGCCCTACCCGTTTCCTTGCATGGCTATCAGTGATTCTAACCATCTCGTGCATGCCTATATCAGCTATTTCTTCCTGTTATTCATGTTGCTATCTGGTACCCATCCTGTTCATAACAGTGACCGCATTCCGTTTATTTACAGTCTATTCTGTATCCCAGTACATAGCTGGCAGCCCCTTTCCTTTACGAACAACTAGTCTGTCGGCCTGTGTCGTATGGCTGACATCATCCTTATATCAATCTGAATTATGTGACAAATAACCTTAACTGCTCTAGGGATACCTACTGTCCTTGCTCCCTATCAAAATTTACTATTATCATATGAGATTGTGATGCTAGAATTGTGGGCATATGTCACTTGTGAGCTAGCTTTTAACATCTGTAGATGCTATCAGTGTCATTGTCAATGTGTGTGTCCGTAACAGATTTCTGCCTCATTTGCTCTAAAAACACGCACTCACTACAGCAATCCGCTACAAACAATGCACTCATTTCCTCAGGAGCCCACAACTGAAAGAGATGGTGCTGCTACCTGTGAAGAGAAGAACGCAACTGAGGATTAAGCGTATGATAGCAGCGAGCAGCCACTGCGGTGGCCGAATGAGAGAACATGCCGATGAGTAAATAAACATACCACTGAAACACCTTCAACTAAAGGCAAAAAACCTGCACAGTATCCCTATGCGGCGCAGGTAGACACACGTAGAGAAACGATGAACGGCGATGAGAACAGTGGGCAGACGATGCATGGGTGAGGCAATGCACGAGTGAGACAGTGGAGGTGAGACAATGCGAACCTCGTCCAGTCTTTGAGCCTCGTGTGCGGGCCGCTAAATGTTTCTTCCAGTTGGCTAGTTGAAACAGCGCAGCACAGACAGAGAATTACTCATCAAGCACACACACACACACGCGTGCGTTTCTCGAGTGCACGCCATCAAACACACTGTGGCATCAAATCTAAGCAAATATCTCTCATTATTATAATGTAATAAATGTAATTTAATTATAAAAATTTTAAAGATATATAATTCTGAATTAAAATGTAATCTTACCTGATAGAGAATATGCGGATTGCTAAGATGCTGATTATGGAAACTATGAAAATTACCAAGAATTTATCTGTATCATAGTCTAAATTTGTTAATTGAACAGAAAACGAGGCAAATTCTTCAATGAATCTGAATTGTCTCTCAAATACTGGACAAACATCAGAGAACGTTTTGCTTATACTAATTTGTTGTTAGCACATGCATTACGACCATAGACATCATGTCAGCATAGGTTTGGTGCTACCACGAGAACGGGAGGAAAATGTAAGACATACGTCTAAATAAATACTGCAATCTTGCAGACAACTAATGACTTACGACCACATTACGGTAAAAGATAAACAACGAACATTACTATAGACATTTTCTCGGGCCATGAACCATTGTCAAGCATTAAAAACGGTCGAAGCATTCGAGAGATAATCGCTTTTTTAAAGGTCAACGGTTCAACTTTTGGCAGCTAACTACATCAGAGACCGACCTGGATCGCATCGGGCAGTGTGAGCCGCCTGCCACCCGACCGTTCGTCTACTCTACAACACAAGTCACCACCACACAGACGACACAGTGGGAGGAACACCGATCGACAACAGCCACGCGACGAATACCAACGTAACGTCCTTTTTATTGCTCAAGCAGAGTTGCGTGTAAATGCTTCTCTAATGCACCACAAAATTATAAACAGCATTTATACACGTTTTAGCAATATTCCGGTCGAACATTCCGAGTTATATCTTCAATATCGCCACGTAGTAACGAATCACCTGCTCTCCCCTTATACGCCCCTCACTGTATGCTCCTACCAGCATACAGGGGGACGAGTAAGGAAAAACAATGACTCCTACTACTGTGATTTGTTTCACTGTACTTGTTACAGGGGTAGAAATTAACTTTTGAACAAGCGAGTCCAACGGACTCCCTACCATCAAAAAGTCCGCAGTACACAAGTAGTACCGCAGATATTAACAAAAAAGACATTTGTGGTGCACGTCTGCCAAATTTTGTTGGGTCATTTCCTAAAATAAATATGGTAATTCCGCGAGGCCGTGCTCTGGAACGAACTAGTTAGTATAGCAGAATTTTCAGGGAGTCACACAGATGTAATACAGAAATAAAGAGAGGAGGATAATGGTAACGATAAATAAGACCTACTCCCTCCCCCTCGGAAAAGTTGGGAGCCGTACTAATGCGGCGAACAACTTCTGTCAACGTTGTGATGCATTGCCTTCAATACGTATTATTTTTAAAATTTTGTTTTTGTTTTGTAACCGGAAAGACTAAATTATCTAAATTATCTTATTTTATATTCTTTCTTTGTTTTGCTTCTTTATGGCTACGCATTATACTATTTCTGTCTTATTTATCGTTACCGTTATCCTCCTCTCTTTATTTCTGTATTACACTGACTCCTGCATATGTCAAATCAGGGAGTCCTGCAGTAAATCAGGGAGTATTTGACTCCAACTCTCGCTAATTTCGCACCCTGTTGTTATATCACGGTCCGCATTAATTCAACCGACCGCACGTTCCTCCCACCATTCGCAGCAGCAGCAGACGACACACATGTGCAGAGTTCACGCCACGCCGAATAGAATACCGATTCAATCCTCACGCAGAGAACATGTAAAGCGTGTCTACAACATCTAGTCGAGTTCACCACAACCTATACGATCGATCTACGATATGCAGCTTACATCCATGTAATGGTGTACTGTCTGAGCAATCTCTGTCCGATTAAACATCAAGGTTACAGCACTATTGATTTGTACGCACGATATTAGTTTCATGAATGTGATTAAAAGTAAAAATGCAACGAATTACATAAAAATGTGTAAAACTATCCGCTGGCTCGAAGAATATTATGGTCCAAAACATGCAACAGTGCATTTAGTTTAGGTGACGTTTGTTATTGCATTTAGTTACTACAGACTACAAGCGTTACACCGATGTATACTGCTTTGGTTTCTACATAAAGGCTTGCTGTTTTATTCGTCTCGCTCTCCTTCATTTAATATTTCAAAGGCAATCTTCCTAACTAAAGATAATGTATGTATATGTGTATGTACACACAATACACATTATACGTAACATATAATTTATCGCACATTTACACACAAACACATTACACCTCTCCAAATTATATCTGTTTACTCGTACTGCCACCAGGTTGTTTTACGCGTGGGATCGAGCGTGGCATGCAACCTTCACATCCGAACCTCCACCCGACCTACCCGTGATTGGATGCTCCCACGACTTGCGTCGCGTGCGGCGCCCTCTATCCTCGTCGGCACGAGGCACATGCGATCCGAAGGCGATCTTGGGTCGGTTAGCGTTGCGAGCGTCCAGCTTCGAATCGCGCTGCGAATTCTTCTTGAGTATTGCTTCAAGTCGTTCCTGTACACACCAGCAAATATACAATACATTATCAAATTTTAATGAAATTTTTCATTACTATCTGTGTATTGCATCAGAGAGTTCACATTCGGAAGACAATGCTTTGCAATGACGTGCTGCAAAGTCGCCATTTTGGTGTTCACTTGAAAGACGTATGAATTGGACCAGCTTGACAGATCTTGTGACTACATTTCTAGGAACCTCGCTAAAACATTTGCAGCCAATAGTAAAGAGGAGATAAATGCAGTGTTGAGCCAACAGATGGTGGTGATGATCTGAAGTGTTGCAGGTAATTTGCAAGGCCTTCAATCGCACAGTATTTAAATGCGAATGCGTGCATGCAGTCACGTCTTAGTGCCGGAGGTTGTGCGAATGTTTTTCAGTGCAGCGAATGACATTCAGCTTCCTGTCTGTGGCAAAACGATGTTAATCCAAGCTCCAGCTTCACCGTACACGTACATAGCAGGCGAGCCCTCCACCCCAACCCATGAGGGTGTACAACAGATACCGCACCACATGACAGACAATGTACACAGCGCAAGATACCACTCACACCACAACCCAACCCATGTGGGTGTACGACAGACACCGCACCGCACGACAGACAATGTACACAGCACAAGATACCACTCACACCACAACCCTAACCCCTGAGGGTGTACGACAGACACCGCATCGCATGACAGACAATGTACACAGCAGAAGATACCACTCACACCACAACCCTAACCCCTGAGGGTGTACGACAGACACCGCATCGCATGACAGACAATGTACACAGCAGAAGATACCACTCACACCACAACCCTAACCCCTGTTGGTGTACGACAGACACCGCACCGCACGACAGACAATGTACACAGCAGAAGAAACCACCCCACCCCAACCCTAACCCCTGAGGGTGTACGACAGACACCGCATCGCATGACAGACAATGTACACAGCAGAAGAAACCACCCCACCCCAACCCTAACCCCTGAGGGTGTACGACAGACACCACATCGCACGACAGACAATGTACACAGCAGAAGAAACCACCCCACCCCAACCCTAACCCCTGAGGGTGTACGACAGACACCGCACCGCTCAGTGCAGCGTCCCGACGCGCAC